TCAGCAGGTGCCTTCAACATGAGGCCAAGCATGGACAAGTTAATGCTACCTCCTGCCTTGACCTCAGCAACCACAGTACCTCATTACTACTCAGCTGAACTCAGCTTGAAACTCAGGCTTTCTAGCAGTGAAAAGGGGTCCCAAGATGCCCAGACTGCTCTAACATACTCTGAGCAATTCACCAAATTAAATGATCCTTGAGAATTTCCCCCAATTAAATCCATAGTCCAATTGGAATTGTCTAGCTCACTGAAGGAGGACGTGGTGAATCTGGTGCTTGGGAGAAATTCTGGTACTTACTTGATGTTTCTTAACATCTCAGGTCAGGTACTCTCAGTGCGAGGATATGTACAAAGAAGGGGAAAGGTATGTGGATAGTAGGTACATGCTGTAATGCCAGGTAGAACAATTTCTGCAGCAAAGTTTTGAGTGTCCTGAAGTAACCCTACAAAGAGACTACAAACTCCAAACCCACAAGCTATCATTAGAACAATGACTAAGGCTAATTAAAAGTGATATCATCTCACTCTGCCTTTTCCAACCCAAGCTTTTCTCTCCTAGGACTTTCCATTCCCAACATCCCACCAGTGCAGTTCTCTGGGCTGGGGCATGAAGCTCCAATGTTCTCTCTTAGAAACCAAATATTTGCAGCAGCATGATGAGAGTATTCTTCAACAGACAGGGGTACAGGGTGACATTGGGACTATATCTTGAAGTCTATGCCCACATCCTCACAACCCAGGGTGGAATATTGGTCAGACCTGAGAAGAGGTCCTGACATTATTTATGACATCAAACTTAACATGTTTTCTGCAGACAGACCTCATGATTATCAAAGTTATCAAGGAATCCTGAAGTTCATCTCCATGGTGGCATCTTCCCAGAGATGAGGAAGCTCCGAGCATGGGCGCTGAAGTTCCTCAGATCATGCCTTGGCCTCCTGAGTCCCACTTCTCTATTTAGTCACTGATGAATGCAGAATCAAAGCCACAGTGATGCCTAGATCTGGTATATCAGCCATTCTCATTCTGAGTCTTGCTGATCATTAACTTGGTTCATGCTTCTGCCTAATAGAATTGTGAATGACTTTCCCCTAGCTATGAACTCCTTAAGATAGCATTCAAGACTCTTACAAATGCCATTAATCTGGATTCTGAGATTAGGTCCTCTGTGGCTCTTCTACATATCCCACACCCCTGCAGCTTAACCAGACCTCCTGTGGTTCTCACAATGTGCACAATCCTTCTGTCCCTTTGCACATACTGTGTGGTCTTCAGCTGGAACTGTGTCTCCAGAATTTTCCACCATTTTGTTACTTCTCCTCAGTGTTTACCCAGGCAAGTCTCACCCAACACTCAGCAATGCTGTCACTTAGCCCTGGCCACATCTGAAGTTTCTTGCTGCTTGAGAGTAGAAGTCCATAATTTAATTTCCAAATGAGATAAACATAAGGTGCTCCCAGACTATTTATTGTATAGAAGAAGGAGTGGCACACTTTTCTTTGTATTGAAGGGTTTGGGGAGGTACTGAAGATGTGAGGTTTGTAGGAGCGAGGAGAGACATGGGAAGGGCTGGGAAGCTTCCCCTTCTGGAGACCTCATCCCCACTGTGTGATGAAAGGATCAGTGCTTGTGACAACTGTGGCACCTATGACATCTGGAAATGACCTAGGTCCTATCAGAATTTGTTTTATTCAGTACATTGCTGCAAAAGCCTTTAGTGAGCCTCAGTGGCAATCCTCTGTGGCTTTGGACTGGAGTAATAATTTTATTACTTCCCCAATTCGCTCCTTGGAGTCTCAGGGCTGGCTTGAAATATATTCTTCTTCTTGAGATAGTGGCATTCACACCAACATGTTTACATTAAATGTTCCAAGCTTGGATCCCAATCTTGTGGGTGAAGAAGTTGGCAGGGTGTTTACTATGTCCTGTGTGGTCTTTTATCAGCCGATAAGGCCAGATATAGCATAAGTATAAATACATTGCTAGTGTAGCATTTGAGCTCTTTTATGTCAGATCCTATGATGAGAGGGAAAAATGCCAAGGAAGAAGCTATCATTGTGTAATTATCTTGAGACTCAGAATTGATGAATGCCCAAGGCAGACATGGTGCCCTCTTCCCTTCACCTCTTGACCTCTACAGTGAGTCAAGTCTGTGCAGAGGGTATGATATCACCATTCACAGGGATGGGAATGCATAACCCACAGAAGGGTGCCATGGAAAGCAACACCTGCCTCCTCACTGGAACATAGTAGTTGCTCATAGATAGAAAGTTTCTTAGTGAGCTGATGAAGATGTTCTAATTAGACAGTGGGTGATGGTTATACAACATGATGAATACATAAAATCCCACTAAATTAAAAGGTGACTTTATGGGATTTAGATTGCATCTCAATTTTTTAAAAAAGTCATGTGATACTAAGATCTGGAACAAAAGATTACAATTATTATAGCCTCTGAGCTCATCATAAAAGACCACATGGCCTTCTTACTACTTTAGGCTCCCCACCTCCATATTCTGAGGTCATGTTGTCTGCTTTCGTGAAAGGAGTAGAAGCCAACTAATGGTTCATCTGCTCCTGTCCCTCTTCTGTGTCAGGCTGGTTGACTTTGGTCCAGGTACTTCCTTATCTTTGCTTGCATGGTTAAAGCATAGGTAATGAGTCTGACCTACTTGATGAAGATCTGCTGGGAAGCAAAATCTTGTTTGTGGAGTGATTTAAAGGGACAGGTGCTATGTCCTCCCAAATACATACAGAAGGGACTGAGTGGCATCCACACATGCACAGAATCTTAGATTGGGTAGAGATGGGTCTGAGAAGAAGCTGGGCTTGATTATGCCATCAAATGCACTACTGGGAACTGGAATGCTGATGATGTTTATCTCCACTGAAATGGATACAGAGATTGGTCTCCAGTGCAATGTCAGAACAAGGGCTTGGGGAGGATGCATTTCTAGGGGTGGGTACATTTCTAAGAGTGCTCTAGTACATTGATGAATGAGAAGGCATGAAGGGCACCTGCAGGATATACAGCCACAAGCCTGGAAGAGTCAGTGATTATTGGTCATGCGCTCAATTTGCTTGACTCCTGCTGCTCTAAATGTTTACCTTCCAAGATGCATCCAAGAGTGTTTCCTCCCTCAAAATGTGGAAGACTCTTTTGAGGAATAGTGGATGTTCAAAGCCAGTGTCACCACTACAAATATGGAGCTGCTTTCTGAAGGCGAGGTCTGAGCAAATCTTCCCAACTCAGTCTGTTCACCCTCTGAAACTCCATGGATTCTAAGGCAATCACATGTGAGATCACAGATGATATACCAACCAGACAGATGACAGAGCCTTTTAAGCCACACAAAAAAAAGGGCTGAGCATGAAAGGCGGTACTTTGTGGGCAGCTCTCCCTCACTATCTCAAGTGTACTCTTGTCATTGGTGAGTGAGTGATATTGAATGAGAGAGAGACCACCATACCAGTGTCTTTTGCAGGGGTAGGTCAATGACTTTTGTCCCATGTAGAACCTTAGTGACCTACACAGGAGACCAATGGATATGTCTATTCCTTCACCTCATCATCATTCATTAGCTGCCTAATCAACCTTTTCCTTTCCCATTTACCATGAGGCATCATTTTTCTCAGAGAAGCCCACCATTTTGCATATTTAGTCATGGAGGACTGCTTGAAAACATTGTGAACATCCTCATTTCAATTAGTACTTGAGTGCCTAGCACAGGACCTTGTGTATAGTGCATGCCCAGTGTGTGTCTATTAAATGAGTGGCTAAATCAATAAATAATAACAGCCCTTCCATAAATAGTGAAGGATAATTATAAATTCCATAAATATTTAAAATTGCTTTCCTCTTTGTGGTTGTGATACTTGATGAGAATATATTCTAAATGTGCCTATATTACATCTTTTTTTATATCTATGGAATGATTTCTTTGGCTAAAGGTGATACATTTGGGGACAAGAAGCATGTCTTTTAAAAATGAAATTTTATAAGGTAATGATTTGTTCAAATGTGTATAGTAGAACACTGGTCCCCGCTTTGAGGTTCTAACAGTTGTTAAAGGGAGCATGGTCTGAAAGCTAAGGAAAGCCTGGAGAAGATGGATGAATCAGTGTTCTCTGCTATGGGGTGCCCTAGAACTCTGATGTGACACTGCTTCTGAATAAGAGAAAAGAGGGTATGGACCCAGGATGTTCCTGCAACAGCAATAGCCTGTACTACCATGCAGACAGAAAAAAGTTTTCTGGTATTTTTCTGTTGATGATAGCCCAGCTTTTATCTAAACCTCTGAGGAGTCAGGGAATGTTTGTACCTGTTATCGGGCCCAATTCACACCACTTTCTTCACACACTACATATGTTTTGTAAAACTAAATAGGAAAACAAAAAAGAATTAAAACATTTCTTTAACTGTCATGTCAAGTCATCAAACAGCTCCAGTGGTCTATGCAGCCCATGATGTTTGATGGCTTCACAAACATGCCACCAGCCCCAGTGGCTCTTCAGGAACCTCCCAGAACTGCTCCATAAATGCAGGTTCTCTACATAGTAATTACCAGCTTTTTCCTTGGTAGATTCACTGGCATCTAGGAGTAATTGCTATGGAGCTCACAGGTCCAGATTTACAAGAGGCAAACAACCTTGCATTTACCCCAGGGGGTTATCAGGTATTCAAACTGTGCAATGTAAAGGATGCTATTGATCACAGAACAAGGGGAAGAACTTGAATTTTCACCTCAGTATTTATCTCTCTGGGTGAGAGCCTGGTTCACTAGATTTATCACAGAAAGACCTGTGCGGATAATTCTCCTCTTCTCTAGATCTCCTGTCTACCTTGAGTTTAATAAGCAGCAGTAAGTCTGACTTAACTGTAGTCAAAAGCCTTTGTTGTCTGTGAACAGAACTGGCATGTTGGTACCAGAAACTAGGAATATGGAATCTTTGTCCAGTCCAGAATCTCACCCTGTGACTTTGGTGGTTTTCTTCCAGAGATCTCAGGGAATACGGAGGACATCCCTTTGGTGCGCTGGAGGCAGCAATGGCTGGAGAACGGTACTTTGCTTTTTCACATTCATCACCAAGATGGCGCTCCAAGTCTCCCTGGACAAGACCCAACTGAAGAACCCCAACATGAGTCAGCAGAAGAGGAACTGAGAATCCTCCACATCTCAGTCATGGTAAGAGCAGGCTAGCCACAGCCCTCTGGCCACACATAGCTTGTTTTACCTTGATATTAACAGTCTCAATGCCAGGACTATATTCATGAGTTTTTTGTTGTTGTTATTGTGATAACAAAATATCTTAGGTGAGTATTTAAGAAACCCACAGTTCTGGAGGCCAAGGGCATGGTATCTGTATCAATTCAGCTCTGCTATGGACCTGCTCAGCTGTATCACATCATGACATATGGTGATGACAAGGGCAGAAGTGGAAGAGATCACAACCTAAACAGAAAGCCAAAGGGGTACTACAATTCCCTCCTAGGGCATTGTTGATCAATATGAGGACTTCTCAGATGCTCCACCCCTTAAAGGTTCCACACCATCTCCCAATACTACCATTTTAGGGACCATGCTTCCAACCTTAGAGCCTTTCACGGGGAGGGGTCTTTTAAATCATTGCAATAGACATGGCTGTTTAAAATCCAAATCCATGAAGATCATTGAGCATGGTGATATCTAAACTTCCCATTTGTGGGGAATGCATCCATGTGTGCTGTTACGATTGCAGCTATTTCTACAGCTCACTTCCCAACTGTTCTTCCTAGGAACATCCCTGTATATGGAGTAGCTTTCTCCAACCTGAGGTACTATCAGGCTGTCTTAAAAAAAGGAATTATTCAGTTAACATATTGGACCGTTTTAGTGTACTTACTCCATGGAGGTTTGTTGGATGACTGACTCTCCCATCTGCTTGCTACTACCAAATCTTCTGTCTTTTCTTCCAACCAGAAGAAATCAGCACCCTGGTTTTCTCTTATCCCACAGTCTAGGGTATGCCAATAGATGTTCTGTAGCCTAGTTCCAAGACAGAACAATCGTTATCTTATCTATATGAAAATGTAAAGCCCCAAGAACATGATAAAATTCTTCTTAAAGTACTGGGAACGTACATTTAAGAATTTCACTAAAAAAGTGAATGCCATAATATTAGGGTATGAGGTGTGAGGGGTTTTTGATAGTGTTTTGTTTACTGGTGAATGCTTAGCAGTAGAACAATGTAATCACATGGCTAATGCATCACCAATACTTGTGGAACAAATGTACACATTTTCAGTGGAGACAGAAAATGTCTATTTCACTTGATATTAATGTGTTGGTGAGTCGATGATGCATTATCTATATATAAGAGTTCGTGAAAGCGGGTTGACACTTGACTGCATTCATGGGCTATGTGGTTAGTATACTGCTACTTCACTGCTAATATGCTCACACTGGCCCAGCCTACATCTTGATCTAACTTTAATGCATCTCTTGCTCTGATATCATTGCATATTCTTTAGTTCTACCCAGTACCACATTAGCCTGACACAGTGCAGAGAGAAGGGTAAGTTCTGCATATTTTGTTATTGATGACAGCCAGGAAGAAATCAGCACATTTTATATAGCATGAAAATCTCCATTATCCAAAATTTAGGATGAAAGACTTTCCCATAAAAAAAACCTTGCACATCTATATTAACTTGGCCATTTAAATAGGCACTTTCACAGACCCAGAATCTATACATCTGAATGAACTTTTGTGTAGTTAAAGTAACCATGAAGCTTTACTTTGGAGTTTATACTTTCATCATCAATTTAATTTTTATGCATGTATCCACCAGAGAACAAAGAAGAAATGCATGATATAGCTAAATCCAGAAACGCAAATAGCTTCATATCCCTCCTTTTTTATAACTCATCTGCCTGCATTCTGTCCATTACAAGTTCTTTACGATAAAATTTTATTTATTTTTTAAAATACTGGTTTAAAATCTCTCAAAATATAACCATTTCACTTCTTCAGTCAGTATCTTCATAGATAACTGGTGTGATAGGTTACCTTATGGACATAGGTACTTTGTTTAAACTCAAGGGTGGAGAAAGTTCTTGAATAGGAAATAATAATCTCCAATGTCCAGGTGAGTCCATGAATGAACTAGAGAATGGCAACTGTTCTATTTCACAATTGAGATTAATGAGTTGCTCCTCGGAAGGCAGTATTTGTGGACTCTTAATCAAAACATCTATTCTTTCTCAGGAAAGGTTATCTTCTTCAGTGTGGGTTATGGCTTCCAGACAGTGGCCAGATCAAGCAGGCAAACACAGTTAGGCCAAAACTAGATCACCTTCACCTTTGTAATTCCATTTTCTCCGACAACCCATCTACCCTGACTTGTGCTCATAAGTGACTTTAGTTCTGTTTTCTGTTTGATTCAACACAACTATGAAGAGCTTGCTTTTGTCATACCATTTTTTTAATGCCAAGTAAAGAAAACCATATAAAACTCCAAGGATGAAATTTTGGTGTGATTGTATCAGAGCATCAGCCCCTGACTACTAGAGATTAAGACAGGAGCTATGTGAGCAGGGGTTTGGGTAGGTGAAACGGATATAGGGTAAATAACTGGCCCAAAGTAGCCTGCAGCTTGCCCTAGAGGCTGTATCACATAGTCAGTGCATCAAGGACCCTACATTCCATCCTTAGAGTGAGGCGTTCTAGCAAGTTCTCCACAATGTACACACAAGGATGTGCACACATGTTCATCAGTGGTTTTAAAGACAGAAACATGCTGACCAAGAATGCCACAGGGCTTAAGGTAATACATTGTGCTATAGCAATAACTGCGAGACACACTACACAGTTACTGTCTCTGTTGAGAGCCCTGAGCAGGGATTAGTGGACAGTTGACACTGGAATGAAGAGGAAGCAGTGTTAACCTCTGAACTAGCTTTCAGAACTTTCTTCATTATAGGCTTCTAGTTACCCAACACAGAACGGCAGTAACATTTAATTTTCCAAATCAAATGGATACTTCTTTCAGCTTTCTTAGTTTACTGTATCTCATTTTTTAGCTAGGCTGGAGGAGGTAGAGGTTTAAAGGGTACATGCAAAGGATGAGAATGGCAAGTGTTATGTTGCCTCTGCTTTGGCCGTCTGGATGTGATCAGACCTCATCTCCGTGAATACTGAGAAAGTCTTTGACCTCAGCCAGAGAGTGGGGTCCCAGAGTGAACGGATCATTGCTGCCTTCCATCTATCTTTGTCGAAAACTGCTTCTCGGTGGAGGCTGAAACACACCTGTCCTTCCTGCTCTGCCCATTCCCATTCCGCACACCGCACACCACACACCGCACACCGCACACATGCTACCTTGCCATCCTCAGGCTGCTTCTCCAGAAACAGTTTCAAAGCCTGAAGTTGAGGATCTGCCCTCAGCTCAAAAATCAAGCCTCAGGGTATCCTGTTTGAAGATGTCGTTCCGAGAGTCTCTGATGGCTTCTTCTGAGGAGATTCGAGAATTGGTAGACTGTGTTTGATTCACTTTATACCATATCCCATAGAGGTAATGTAGGCAGCTATTTGAGGCATCTGGAGTGTGGCCTGATAAATGTCAGAAGAAAATAAAACCCTTTGGCTACTGATAGTTTTGGACAGTGATATGCATGTGGATGATATCACCCCAGTTCTCTTACTCATAAAATAACAAGAGCAGGGATATTTTTTTATCAACTCTAATGATCAATAATGATATGCTTTTCAAACAGATTCAAAAATAGACTCATTTGAAAAAACTGTAAGGTTATTATCAAAATATGAATATGCCCCCACTAAGAAGTTTTACATTTAAGTTTGGCCGGTAATCCTAAATATTTCCAGTATGTACAGAGGGAATGAATGATTTTGTGAAAACCTGCAGGTTTACATTTGTCAGTTTGCATTCACACTTTCCTCAGGTGTGTTGCCTTTGTGCAGAGACTAGTGTTTATTTTCATATTTTGCCTTCCCTATACTTTATTCTAAACATGACACGGAAGGAATTATAGAATGACTAGTAAAGGTACCTTCTTGTATCCTTCTGAGACAACATAAATGAGAATGTGCAAGCTCACTCTCCTACTGTGCCCTGTACAAATCTGTCATCAGCAAAATCAGAGGCTTGCAAAAAAAAACCAATACTCCAGCTGGGCGCTCGGCAATTTAAAAACTTTGACAAAAGCTTTCATTTTTTTTTCAATCACATCCTAAAATTTTTGAATTAGTTTTTCAAAGAGTCACCATTTCTTCCTTTCAAACAATAATTGCATTTCCCTCCTGAAGTCTTACGTTACTGCTTTGAGGGTCAAAGGATATATTTTAACCTTCTGCATGATTCAAACTGGATGAAGAAATTTATTCCAAAATGTACAACATAATTGACACTCAGAACCATGACAGTACAGAAGCATCTTCTTTTGCAAACTCATGAACAAGTGCTAGCAGAGTTGATGAATCAAAACTGAGTGTGAATTTTTAAGCAGAAGTTAAAAAAAAAAAAAACCTCAGCAAGAAGGCACATTGTTTATTCCACAGAAGACTAGATTTTTGACACGATTTACATCAGATAGTCAGAAACTGTGCAGATGTGAATGTCTACATGGTATTTCTGCTAATTTACCATATGATGCACAATTTTTCTCCTCAGAGTATGGAAAAAGAATCTAATGGTGCACAATAGAATGTAGATGTATTATCTCTATATTTCATGCTTTTAATTAAAGATAGCAATGGTAATAGATTTCCTAAATGCACATAGGTTGGTTACATTTTTCATAGCAGCCAGCCTTCAGTTTTATCTGTCTGCCTGTCTGTCTGTCTGTCTGTCTAGTTTTTATTGTGATAACTCCTACTGCTAGAGGATGTCTTTTGAATGTTAGCCCACTTAGACACAATTTACAATTTTGTGCGTGGGGAAAATGTCTTTGAGTTTCAGTGTGTCCTTCTGAGTATTCTGTGGACAAACCCACCAGTCAAGACTAAGGGCTGTTCAGGACCACTGGCCCTTTGTATGTGAAGTCAACATCTTCAGGCTCCTGCAGCCTCTGCTGGTCAGAATTCTCGGAGGCTTCCCATCCTTAAGCTCCCTGCTCCTGGGGGCTTCATTTAATTTACGGTGCAGAGTTCATCTTGAGAAAAATATCATAATTATAAAAATTTG